TTTTTTTTCCCCAAAGCCCCAGTAGATAGCTGTATGTGATAGCTGCACATCCTTCTAGTTGCTATATGTGGGACGCGGCCTCAGCATGGCTGGAGAAGCGGTGCGTCGGTGCATGCCCGGGACCCGAACCCAGGCCACCAGTAGCGGAGCGTGTGCACTTAACCGCTAAGCCACGGGGCCGGCCCTGGGAAACTATGTCTCCTTGAATTCTGAATGATAACGTTGCTGGATAGAGAATTCTTGGTTGGAAGTTTTTCTCTATCAGCACTTTGAATATGTCATGCCGCTGTCTTCTGGCCTGTAGAGTTTCTGCTGAGAAATTTGCTGATAGCCTTATGGGATTTTCCTTGTATATAACTGGTTGTTTTTCTCTTACTACTTTTAGGATTTTCTCTTTGTCCTTAACTTTTACTGTTTTAATTATAATATGTCTTAGTGTGGGTTTCTTTGGGTACATCTTATTTGGAATGCTCTGTGCTTCCTGGATCTGGATGTCTGTTTCCTTCCCCAGATTAGGGAAGTTTTCAGCCATTATTTCTTCAAATAAATTTTCTGGCCCTTTCTTTCTCTCTTCTCCTTTTGGGACCCTCCCTATAATATGAATATTATTCTGCTTGATGTTGTCCCAGAGATCCTTAAAGGTATTTTTGCTCTTTTAAATTCTTTCTTCATTTTGCTGCTCTGTCTGGGTGAAACCTATTATTTTGTCTTCCAGCTCACTGATTTGTTCTTCTACTTCATCCAGTCTGCAGTTGAACCCCTCTAGTGTATTTTTCAGTTCAGTTATGATGTTTGTTTGGTACTTTCTTATATTTTCTATCTCTTTGTTGAAGTTCTCACTGTGTTCATCCATTCTTCTCCTGAGTTCAGTGAGCATCTTTATGACCATTATTTTAAACTCCTTATCAAGTAGATTGCTTAGCTCCGTTTCATTTAGTTCTTTTTCTGAATATTTGTCTTGCTCTTTTGTTTGAAACATATTCTTTTATCTTCTCATTTTGCCTAACTCTGTGTCTTTGTTTCTATGTATTAGGTAAATCAGCTACCTCTCCCAGTCTTGAATGAATGGCCTGAGGTAGCAGATGTCCTGTGGGGCCCAGAGGCACAATATGCTCTGGCCACCAGAGCCTGGTGCTTAGGGGGGGTCCACCGTGTGGACAGTGTGCACCCTTCTGTTGTGGTGGGGCCATGGCTGTGGCACAGGGGTGGGTGGGGTTGGCACCTGGCCTTGCTGTGGGGTGCAGCTGTGTGACTTGATCTTTTTGGGTGGAAGTTTCCATGTCTGTAAAAAGGGATTAACAATACATTCTTCATTGGGTTGTTATGAAGAGAAGCAAGACAACTAAATAAAGTACTTAGAACAGTAACAATGAGTAAATGTCACTGCTATTATCATTATTTTGAGTTGCCAGATTTAGTAAATTCAAGATGCCTAGTTAAATTTGAATTTCAGATCAACAACAAATAATTTTTTACCCCAAGAGTCCCATGCAATGTTGGGGACATACTTATACTAAAAAAACTATTTGTTGCTCATTTATAATTCAAATGTAACTGTCTTGGCAACTCTTACTACTACTGCTGGTGTCACTGCCCACCTTTGCTGCTCTCCAACATGTTTTGTTTTTGTTGCTCTTGGATTTTCCTGGGTTTGGCTGGGAATGAGGAGGACCCAGAGATAACTCTTGGGAATGACCAGTGTTAAATGGGGAAGTGGAGCGTGTCCTGGATTATTGTCCCTGTTGTATAACCCCCAAAAGCTCCTCCCTCCCAGCCCCCATCCATGGCTTCAACACTTGCTTAACTCTTTCCTTCGTGGGGCTTTTCCAGGTTACTCAGCCTCCCCCAAGCCATCTTCTGTCATTAGAGCCTTCACCACTCATGTAGCCATCATGACCTACTGTCTTGCAGTGTTGTCTCTCTCTTTTCTAAAAATTAATTATTATTATTAGTTTTGGGGCCTCTGATGCAAAGTATTGAGTTAATTGTACTTCTCAATCATGGTGCATTATGGTCATTGGTCTGCTCAAAGACCCTCTTGTTATTTATTTAAATACTCCCTTGCTCTTCGCCACCTGCTCCCTCCCTGGGGAATCATTCCAATGCATGGCATTTCTGGGAAATATATAGTGTTGTGTTTTGCTTTACACATTTTTTTTTCCTTTAAAAAATAGATTTATTGTTTAAAAGTTTTAGATTTCAAGAAATATTGGACAAATAGTTCCCTTATACCCCATACCCAGTTTCCTTTATTAATAACATCCACGTTAATATGGTACATTTGTCACAATTAATGAACCAATATTGACATACTATCATTAACTAAAATCCCTACATTATTCAGATTTCCTTAGTTTTGACCTATGGTTCTTTTTCTGTTTCAGGATCCCATCTAGGATCCTGCATTACATTTGTTGTCATGCCTCCTTAGGCTCCTCTTGGCTGTGACAGTTTCTCAAAACTGTATCCATTTTTAATTTACATAAGAGGCACTCTAT